GTGCTGGGGGCTGGGTGGGGGAGGCTAGCCCCTCAACCCTGCCCCTTCTTAGGGGCCTGGACCCGAGCCCCTCTCCAGCTCGCCCCCGGCTCAGCGAAGTCTGTCGCCAGCCCTGTCCCTGAGCGGGGCGTCTCCTCTGCTGTGCTCCAAAAGCAGCAGCTGCCATTTCTGGGGTCAACAAAGTTGTTTCTCTTGCTCACGCCCCAAGTGCGCTGCTTGACCAGCTGGTACGCGAGGCGCTGGGCACTGAGCTGCCTGTAGGTCCCGAAGGAGCCCAGAGAGCAGCCCCTGCGGCAGAGCCAGGCTCAGGTAGACGCGCTGCGTCCAGCCCAGCAGGAGTGGCGGGGAGCGTGCCTCCTTCCTCACTAGCCAGCCGGGCCACCGAGACCTGGCTTCACACCCAGCTAGGCAGGGAGCTTCCCACACCCCTCCCAGCTGAGCTGCTTTGCACAGCACCAGAGAGCCTGGTTTTAAAGGAAAAACTTCAAAACCAACGAACGGTCGGGCAGCACCTTACAGACTCACCAAACCCACAGCTGGGATCGTGAGCCTGGGTGGGTACGACCCACTTCTCCAGGTGCACGGAGCTTGAAACGTCCCGCTCCAAACCAGATAGGGGGTGGGGGGAAATAGCGATTTCGAGTGTTCATGTTCCATGAAGCACAGGACCTTCCGCATCCTAACGACTTAAAACCAGCCAATGGGCACGTAAGAGCAATTTGCACCTTCTCTGTCACCTTCCCACTCACCAGCGGTTCGCGCCCTGGTAACTGCTGCTCTTTAGGGTGCTACGGGAGGAGGTGTTTGTGCCCCTCAAACCGGGGTTTGTTAGCGGCCAGCAGCTGCCTGGAGGTGTCAGCTCAGCTGCCTTTCTATGGGAAAGGACAAGCTGCTTCTAGCCACAGAGAGGAGCCAGGTGTTGGGGTGGAGGGGTGATCTGTGCAAACACATGGGCCAAGTCATTTCTGCCTCCCACCCCCACCCTCTGTGGCTGGAAACTGTTCCCGTCCCTTCCCTCCTACGCAGGGCTGAAAGGCTGCTGCTGGCCACGTCCTGCTGCAAACCCCCACAGATATCGGGGGGGAGGAGCCTGTGACCCTGCATGCCCCTCACATGTGGAGCTGAGCAGACGCAGCACCGGGGAGGGGCTGGCCCGGGGCCCAGCCAGGCATGGAGGGCAGAGAGCTCTGGGCAGGGAGGGTCGGGGCCGGGGGGCTGGCCCCCCCCCCCCCGTGAGAGGCAGGTAACGGGATGATACAGACAGACATCATCTTTCTATCCAAGTAACGGGATGTGACTTTGAACGCCAGCGCTGCCGAGTTCCTGGCCATTTGACAGGAGACGGGACCCAGCAGGGAGCTAGTCAGCAGGCAGCCTCCCGCCTGAGACAGGACACCGGTTCCAAGGCCTGATGGTTTGTGACTCTTTGGTCAAAATGTTAACCTCACGGGATGATACAGACAGACATCATCTTTCTATCCAAGTAACGGGATGTGACTTTGAACGCCAGCGCTGCCGAGTTCCTGGCCATTTGACAGGAGACGGGACCCAGCAGGGAGCTAGTCAGCAGGCAGCCTCCCGCCTGAGACAGGACACCGGTTCCAAGGCCTGATGGTTTGTGACTCTTTGGTCAAAATGTTAACCTCATTCCCCGTATGCGTTTGTGAAACTTCCCACCCTTGGGTGGTGCCAGACCCGCCCCCGCTAAGCCAAAGCGCCTGGGTTTTGTATTTGTACCCTGTGTAGGTATTGACAGATCAAGTCACCCCTTGACCCAGTGATGACTGCTGGGGAGGGATTTGGGGGACACTGGTCATGTGACTGACCCATGCGACTCCTCCGGCGGGGGCCCCGCCTCTTCCTGCCGCTGCCCCCTACTCCACCTCTTCACCCAAGCCCCTGTCCCTGCTCTGCCCCTCCTCCACCCCGTCCCTGCCTCTTCTCACCCTTACTCTGCCCCTGCAGGTCCCCACTACACCTTTCCCCCAAGTCCCCTTCCTTGAGGGATGCAGCCAGTAGTCTTTCAAGGGGCCTGCAGCAGAAATCGCCCCCCAACCTGCACTACCCGGGCCCAACCCCCTCCGCTGTCTCCCAGCCACATCACCCTGCTTTCTGCCACCGCAGGTGAGTAGGGGTGGGGCCAGTCCCTGCTCTGGGGCCAGGTCCCTCACTAGTTCCCTGCGCATGGGGCCTAGGACTGTTGGACGAACTGTCCAGCTCTGCCCGCTGGCTACTGGCCCCTTGCCTCTCCCCTCCCACGGCACTGGGGGCACATGCCCCTTCCTGCCCTGCCCCACCCTTTGATAACTGCATGGGGGGAGGGCTAGCTCAGTGGTTTGAGCAGTGGCTTGCTAAACCCAGAGTTGTGAGTTTAACCATTTAGGGCAAAAATGTATCAGGGATGGTACTTGGTCCTGCTGTGAAGGCAGGGGACTGGACTTGATGACCTTCCAAGGTCCCTTCCAGCTCTAGGAGATAGACAATCTCCATTATTATTATAAGCTAAACAGATGGAGCTCCCTGAGCCTCTGGCTCTAAGGCAGGATTTCTAAGGCTGCATCTACAGGCCTCACCATAGTACGGCTGTGCTGTGCTGTGCTTCTGGACGCTCTGGGCATAATTCAAGCCGTCACTGCGTAGGTGGGAGATCGTCTCCCCCAGACAGAGCGTTCCCCGCTCCGGCGCTTTGTTTGGCAAAACTCACCCCGACCGACAAAACTTTTACCCACCAAGGGCTGGTGTAGACAAGGGCCAATCCTTGAGCCATGCTCACAGTGTGACATAGTGTGGGTACCTTGCTGGTTGCTATCCCCCATTGGCTGCTGGCTGCAGCACGGCCCAGCAGGGCAGGGGATGAGTCATTATGCAAGGGGCTCCCAACCTGTCCGACCAGTTACCTCCCAGGGAGCGGAACAAGGGAAAGGAGGGTGAGGTCACCCCTGGCTGGGGGGCAGGACTGGAGGAGAGTCAGGTAGTTGCTGTCTGGGATCATGGAGGAGACAGCCTAGGGAAGAGGCTGGGATTTAGGGGCCCAGTCTCCCCCATCTCAAGGGGGGCTGAGGCATCCTAGGCCTGCCTGGAACCAGATAACATCTGTGCTGTGCTGTACTCTGGAGAAGCAATAAACACCCTCTATTCGACTGGCTGGTGGAGTCTGTTCATGCCACTACGGGAGTGCAGGAGGTGGGGGAACCCCAATGCACCGTCACACATGGCTTTTCTCTGCCCCTGCTCCAATCCACCAACTCCCTTCTCAAACTCAGTCTGCACCAGCCTACAGCGTCTGCTGCTCTGGGCAGCTCAGGAGCTCCCCGGGGAATGCCCAGCACAGAACCTCCCAGCAGTGGAGATGGGCTACCCAGAGCTCTTTGACCCTCCTTTACAGATGGGGCTTAGGGCCTTCGAATCCGCGGGGTGTGTCCCTGCTAAGCCCTGGCTCACACGTCTCCTTTGCACTAACACTTGTCTTCCTTCCCCTGGCGGGTGAGACCCCGAGCTGGCGTATGGCTCGGTGGGTACTGTCTGCAGGAGGAAGGCTTCCCCCCAGACAGCAGAGCGGGGGCAGCAAGTGATGCTTTTCACACCTGCCGACAGCTCCTCCCTGTGGGCAGGAAACTCGTGTTTCTTCTCGGTAGGAAGTGGCTGAGAGCAGCTGCGAGCTCTGTACACGTCAGCACTGGAAATTCACACTCCCCCAACCCCGCCCCCACCTCAGCAGGGAGAGGAAATCTCCCA